TTTCTCCTCCAGTTACACTCCCCTCCGTCTCCTGCACCGAAGTTCGACAACCACGTTCTGTCAGACAATGAGGTAAGTGTGTGTTAAACTCCCTTATTCCCAAAACTGACGTCTCCGGTCCCGAGACAGCAGCTCCTCTGCTGTGCGAATGCAAATGCTCCGAGCACCCGAGAAAAAAAAAAATAGAACACAGTGGAAAAATAGTCAGATAACATCACACAATGTGCTTGGGGGGGGGGGGGGGGGGGGACGTAGCAGGGGTCCTTGAGTATGAATGCGTCAGTGTTTTAACAATCTTATTATCTCCACTGTTGTGCCGTTTTTGACGTGCAGCTTTTTTGGCGATATTAGATGAGTAATAACCCAACTAAAGAAGAAGAAGAAAAACAACACGATTGTGGTTAACGGTTTGTGTCATTTTTGTCTTTCTCTCTCTCTCTCTGTGCCTTTCAGTCAGCGGTGTACTCCACAGTCAACAAAACAAACTGTGACGACGCTGTTAACGAGGAGGACAAAGAGCACGACTACAGCAGCATAGCGGAGATTAAAGGTCTGGTCCCGGCCTCCTCCTCCGGTGACCTCTACGCCACCGTTCGAGATATCTACAGCCAACCCGATGAGCCCGGCCCCGCCGACAGCACAGACCCAGGCTACGAAACCATCCGCATCCCAAAGACTAATAGCTCAGAGGACGAGCACCGAGCCGAGGGGTCAGACGTGGGCAAGGCGGAGCCCGACTATGAAAGCGTCGGAGAGCTGGGTCTGGGCCCAGAAATGTCCCGCCTTTAAGTCATCGTCCCCGCTCCCCTCCTCGTATCGCCTGGATGCATCTAACAGACTTCGCTGCAGTGCTTTAAGCTTGCTATCAAGGATGCTTTGGGCGCATGACTTGTGAACAGAAAACAGCTCGCCGCAGCATCCACCCAGCCGTGCACGAGCATCCTCCTTATAGCCTGGGTACGGTTTATCATATCCAAACTTGACTCCTTTAGTTCATCAGTCATGGTGAATGTCATCGGTACTGGTGGGCCTTAACAACACTTGATTGTGGAAGAAAAGTATTCAATAGTTAAACTACCAAATAAATATCCAATCGCAACACTCATGCAGCATTTTAATAGTTAGCTAACGACACTATCTAAGAAAAAGAAAAAAGTAATTCAGTGCCATAAAGTGATGGTGAAATTCATGCACTTACACACGTGAAGGTTATATTATTTGTGTGCTCTCTCTGCAGCTGCTAGTCTTTCTAGTTTCTTCCGAGTGACTCAGTGTCATGTTTTATTGAGGTGTCAGGTGGTGTATTTTTAGGCTTTTTTCCTGTCAGGTCGGCAACACCTCCACTGTGCATTCTCCACAAGAAATGAGGTTTCTCCCACCCCTCTCAGTTTTGCTGCCAAACGGTTAGCAGAGACAGAGGTTGCATTCAGTAGATTTTCACCATTTAACACAGCTGATGAATTATCTGCCGCGCACACGTGTCATTGCTCAGACTACACGGCGCATGTGTGTGGGCTTAGCGTGTCGCAGGTTGACGCTAGTCATCTGTGGCGAGCCAAAAAAACGGAAAACGAGGAGTGAAGGAAGAAGGGAAGTGTCGCAACACGTTTTTAAAGCTTTTTTTTGTTGTTGTTCTTTTAGAAGAGCTACAGTCGATGTCAAAGGGTTTTTTTTGTGAATTTCATATTTATTTGAAGACGATTATTGTTGTGTAATTGTGAAATGTTAAAGTATGTCTGTGAGAGAAAAAAGCGAATAGGCATTTATAAAAAAAATTAAATTTCTAGCGTTTTTACTGAGATACTAAATGAAAATGAGTTGCGAGGATTGTGGCAGTTAGGTACGTGTTCCCCCCAGAGCATTTAAAGAGTTCATTGTTTTTAAAAAAACAACAAACAAATGAAAGAAATAAAGAAAAATGAATGTGTCAGTGTATATTGTCATTTTGCACACTTTGGTCAAACAAGTTCAGATGACATATTGTGATGAAATGACGCGACGAGCTTGTATTATTGTACTTCGTATGTTTCCTCGAGTCTATTCTTGGTACAGTCTTCTGTCGGCATTAAAGCACAAGTACAGATTATCGAAAGCAGTTAACATCGCTGCACACTTTTCAACATCTAGCGCTTCTTTTTTTCTTTTAAATACAGGAAACCATGCCTGTCTCTGTGTAGCTTGAACTGACGACAGTGCCAATCGAGGCTTGTAGTTAGAGGAGTATTTTAATCAACTGTTACTCGCTGGAAAATTTAATGTGAGCTTTTACTTATTTGTACAATGTCCAGAGTCATATAGTTTTAAAATAAGATTAAAAGCACTGATTGTATGACTTGTTTTAAGAAAAAAACAACAACTTCAACCATGTTTTCATGTTATTTTAACTCAAAGTTGATGGCGTTTCATATCTGAGAATATCCATTGAAATGCCAGACATATGGTACAGCTCCCTTTGGTACATGCATATTAAGAAACCTGTGGTACTTTTATTAAACACAAAAAAGAAATTGCCTCGTTACTGTTTATTTTTAAATGAATACTGCCTCTGCTTTGTGCTGTAAATATCTTTTTTTTGTCATCATTATTATTTTTATCATTGCTACAGTATGTAACCTCTTAGCAGAAAAATCGGTGTCATCTGTTTCCACCCACATCAGAATATTACAGCGTTACAGTATCTCCAGCATCGGGTTTGTGTTTCATTAGACATGCTGGAGCTCACCCATGGTTTCATACGGCCTGCTCTGACTGCTATCGGATTAATAAATTATATACATTTGAAGTGCTGTTGTATCTCCCAGTGTTGCTACTGTGAAAGAGGATTTTAAATGCCACTCCCCCCCCCACACACCCACCTCCCAGTATTTTATGAGAAAAACATCTTTAATTATCAGTTTTGTTGTTTTCTTTTTCACTAGGAAGGAAGATCTGCCAAAGTTGGGGGGGGTGTTGGTGCCAAATCTAATCAGGACAAAACTTAAACACACCGCTAAAAGATGCTTACTTGCACCAAAAGATTATTCTCTCAAGCTGTTGGTCAGATAAACACATATTTCCTTATAGGGATTGGGGGGGAGTGGAGAAGCACCCTCACTAAATGAGATGATTTGCCCCCCGCCCCCTCCCTTCTCCTCCCCCTCCTCTCGCTCACGACCATCAGACAACTCTATGGTGACACCCGCCTTTGATTAAAGGGCAAAGCCTGGTTTGGCGGTTATAGCCACATCTGTCACTCCACTCTGTCCAATTTCCATTCTGTGCATGTAAATATTTTATGACATGAATTGTTCTATTAAATATATAAGTATAATAAATGGTGCCATTTTGTCTTTTAATTCTCTGGGGCGATGTCTTGTAGAAGGATTGTACGCTGGGTAAGAGTTTCCAAAAACATTAACGTTTGACATTAATTAGGTCATTTGTTTCTGTGATAACATTCTTTGGTGTATTTTCTCTGCCACGCTGGGTGATAATTACGATGAATCAGCGTGCTGGCACACTTGATTTATCAAACTGAACTTTCTTTTCAAAAGAGAGAGATTTATCCCGGGACTTTTTTGGTTCTCAGAGAGCGATAGCTTGTGAAATCACACTTTTAAATGTCTCATTTAGTACGTGATGCCAGCTATATGAGAGTTAACAGCCCTCTGAGGCGGCTTTAAGATTATTTGAAGGAAGGGGACTACCCCGGTCATCAAGTTAGAGACCCCTGGGCACAAGTGTTTAATAAGACCCTGCTGACTTTTTTCTTACAGTTCTAAAACGTTATGGAGGGCGCTGTCTATCCTTGGAAAATTAAAATGTATTTATGATGATATAAATTCATCCCTAAGTATGTAAAGTATTTTTTTTCTTCTTCCTATAAGGATAATGCTGTTTAATCGAAGGGTCCTCACACCTGTTGTTGTCTCCCTCCTGTCCTCCTCTGCTCCCCTTTCGGTTCTTTGTGTCTTTCTGCTTCTTCTACTCCTTTCCCTCCTTTTCAGGCTCAATTGCAGGGTTGTCAAAAATAAGGCCCAGGGGTCAGAATTGACCAACAAAGCCTCCAATCTGGCCTATTGGACATCTTTGGAAAATGTGAAGAACAGCATAAATTTTGGTCTTTTAACTATATTTTAATCATTTTAATCAACTTCTTTGCACTGACTAAAAAGCAAATTTCACTGGTCAGGCCCAATTAAGATGACAATGGGCTTTATATGATCCAGTATGTAAAATGAGTTTGACATCCCTGCTCTACGATGTTCTGTACAATTAGGTCCATTAGTATACAGCAGCACATTTTTTTATTTGTATTGCCTCTTTGCTTGTTTGTGGGGTTCTCTCTGGTTTCAGTTTTTTCTTCAGGGACTGAAAAGCATGCTCTATTGGGCTGGGATTAGGTGACTGACCTGGCAATTGAAAAATATCCAATTTCTTTGATTTGAGAAACTTTTGGGTTGCTTTTGCAGCATGCTTTGAGACATTATCCGGAGAGTGTAGCCCTGTACACTTCACATCCTGCTGTTTATCCTGCTACTTCTATCAGTAGCCACATCATCGTCCTTTGGTTAACTCTCCAATTACTTTTGAGCATCTGTATGAAAATGACTGTATGAATGCAACCCCTTGAATTCAAAGTGAAAGTTTGCACTTGGTGTAAAATCCACTGTGCTGGTATAAAGATGAAAAATGATAAAAAAAAAAAAACCAATGCAATTGTATCTATCTATCCATCTATAAAAAACAAAACAGCAGTAAAAGTTGTGAAAATATATTTAAGAATCCAAAGTTATACCCTCCTTTATTTGTTATAAAACTGTGGGACCGGTTAAAGTCTTTGCCAGGGCGATTATGGTCCCCGGACCTTATGTTCGACAACCAGTTTTACCAGAACAAAACTGGCATGTTAAAAAAAGGGAAATAACCTGTTGTTTTTATAAGCAAAAACGCAGACCAGTTCAGCTCATTTTATTTATTTATTTTTAACCAGATCATAGTAATTCAGAGGTCCCACGGCACCTGAAAAGTAGGCTGTACAAGTAGGTTAAAGCATGAAGCTTTGCTGCCTGGTCCAAATCTTCTCTCTTCCACAGCCTAAATTCCCGCCTTTTTCCTTTCTTCCCTCTGCCATAACCCCCTCCCTTCTCGCTTCCAATCTCTCCTTGCGTCATTGTTTTCAATGGAGCATCCTCCCCGGTTGCATTACCTTCTTTCGGAGGAGAAGGGGAGCGGTGGGGGCTTGTGGAGGCGTGTGCAGCGCCGACCAATTAGAGACCGCCGTGGCCGCCGGACCGCACATGTTTACAGGCAGCATTCCGCCGGTAGAGTCCCCGCTCGGTCTGAGGTGACGGCGGACTGGATGCGGCAGTAGTTGGAACCGGAGCCGGTTAACGGTCAAATTTCAATCTTTTGTAACACATACGGCGAGGTGTCGGGGTACAGAGCCGTGTGGGGCGGAAAAATTCGACGTGCTGGCTCCCGTGCCTCTATGCTCAAGCTGTTTGCCCTGTATTAGCCACCATTTTTACATAATCGTGTATAAGTGTCGCCTCGGCTCACGACTACGGCGATTAGTCCGCGTTTTCCCGCCGCCCCTTCAGCTCGCAGGGAGCAGAGAGGAAAACAAACAGGTCGAACGGAGGAAGATTGGTAGCCGGTTGGATGTAGAGGTTGTTTAGCGGCGAATGAATCGTAGTCGTCGGCTACTAATTCAGAGCTGGTCGGTTTCTTGTTTCTTTTTTTACGGGGTGCTTGTGCGCGGTGCATTCCGGACGCTGTTTGGAGTTTCCCCCTCCTCCGAGTATGTTGCCCCTTTCTAACATTTTGTCAGGGCTGTTGGAGCGCGTAGTCTACCCGCTGCAGTTTTGTGTTTTTCACGACGCTGTTTACCGGCTATAATTCGACGCTTAATGATTTAATTTTACCGGCTCGCCGGCTTTGAATACAGTGAAACGGTTTTTAGAGATGCACACGAGGCGCCTGGTGAAGCGCTCGGTCCTCGGCAGCCGCGTTTATGCGCCGAGTCCGACGGGGGACGGTGCCCCGGTGACAGGAGTGGTCCAGGCTGTCAAGCAGGAAAACAGAGACTTGTCGGCTGCGGGAGCCCGGCGAAGCGTCTACACCGTGCTCATGCAAGACGGGAGCCTCAAGGAGTTCTCCGAGGAGGAGATAGCCTCGGGCTTCAACCACACCGCAGCCAAAGGACCACTCAAGTCCAGCCTGAAGGTACGTGGATCCGACCGGCAGGCGACGCTTCACTGTTGTTGTTGTGCGGTGTTTTGCAGCGTTTAACCGCTTCCTGCACGGAGCGGATTTAACGGTGTCACCGCCGCCGTTCCCGCCGCCGCGGACGAGAGATTTAACCGGCTGGGATTTTAAAAAATGCATTATGCTGTTATTGCTATAATGAGTCGTTTGCATATTGAAGCATATAACGGACTGTCATGACATTTGGCGACATCAGATATATAGGACAAAGGGCTTGATGGGGCCTGCGCAATGTTTATGTGGGCTAGTGGGTGGGTAAGATGAGGCAAACAAACACGCTCTGACTGCAGCGTTTTAGATTGATGTAAATGTAAAGATGTAAAGGTTTTTGCATGCTCGCCGCCTTATATTTTATACATATATGTATGTGAATGTGACATTTCTTACAGATAATTCTGCGCAACCGGCATTTAATTGCACATTTGGTTAAAGACTTAATTACATTTAGGTTTTTTTTGTTGTTGTTTATTTTTCTCTCATTCATATATTAATGCATGTTACACAGTTTAAAATCGATCGTCTCTGTGTGCACTCATTCTGCTCAAGGGTGTTATTGTTTTAAGAGCTATTATAAAAGAGATCACGCGCACTTCTTGTTGCATTAGAGTCAAGATAGTAAGTTGTGACGGTGTCCAAATCTGCAGTCCTGATGTAGGCCTAACAAGCGATGATCTGATTGCCTTGCAATCCAACTTGAATGCTTTTCTGTCACGTGGCCCCAAATAAAGATTGTGCGAGGAAGAAAAGGCCAATTCAGCTCTTGGATGAGCACACTGTTTCTAACATAGGGGAAGTGTGTGTGTGTGTGGGGTATTGTGTTCATCCTTTTTATAGCGAGGGAGTGACTGAGGAATGCTTGTGGCTGAATAACAACTTTTTTTGATGCTGTGATTTTGATTGCATTTCTTGTGTGTGTGTTTTCATGTTGTTGATGCAGAAACTTGCAGGCTGTAATCTTCAGTCTTATTTCTATGACCAAAGCTGAAATGTTGAGCCACAGTTTGTGGATCTGTCACAGTTCCTGCAGCAGTAAATTGTACTCTTCTGCCTGAAAATGCACATAAATCTCGTAAACTGTTATTTAAATCGTTACAAACAGATGCCAGATCTTCCCAAAGATAAACCCGCTCTTCGGGGGGACTTGTTAGATCTGTGAGTGATGGGAAATGCAGTGTGAACTTAGGTCTCCCGTTTTGCAGTTGTGCATGCAGTGATCAACACAAAAGCTGTTGCACAATTCTGTTACAGTCCCCAGCGCAGGCTGGAGAAGTGCAGCTGAGGGTGAGAACGTATTCCTGTCAGCACAATGGTCAATTCTCTTTCAGCACGACTCAATTCCCGCTGATGTCGAAAACAAGCCATAAAATGAGGAGGAGGGGTATGCTCTGTATGTGCGTGTGTGTCTGTGTGTGTATGCATTCACATGTGCATCTGTGTTGCTTTTTGTGTGCATTAGGGCGCTAATATAAATGTGATTTTCATCTGTTGTGTGTTTTGGATCTTTAACGAGTGAGATGTGACTGCTTTAAATCCTGGAACAGGAGCTGTTTGTGAGAGCATGCCACCCCGTTTGAACAGCAGCAGCTGTACGGCCGACAAAGTGGGCGCCCCCAGGTTGGCAACGGGTGGCGTGCTCCAAAGAATCTGGATGCTTGGCTCTGTGCCCAGAATGGCGAACGAATGGTCCCTGTTTTGCATGGGGCGGGAGTGGGGGGGCGCGATGCCACTTGTTGACTTGCTGTTTTGTGCAAATGTATGTTGTGTGAGAACTAAGTTACGGTGATTTCTCCAGCTGCTAACAAAGAGATCTCACTCACTTCTTGTTGGGCCGGAGCTGTCGTTGTTTGTGTTTGTTGCACACCGATGCGGGAGTCAATGAAGCAAGCTTGTTGACAGAGGCTGTGACTCTTTGTTCTAAGGCGGTGATCTCAGGCGGGCCCGTCGCTGGCTGAGCTTATTGGTTCGCTGAGCAACATCAGCAGGAACTACAGTCAGTCTGGATGCTGGCACCCATGTGGAAATGGATGAGTAATCCTTTGAGGGTGAAGGAAGGTTATGAGTTTATATATATATATATATATATATATATATATATATATATATATATATATATATATATATATATATATATATATATATAAGTGGTAACCTATCTACAAAAAAAAGTATTACTAATAATAATAATAATAATTTGTACATAAAGGCTCATTTACCATCATTTGCTTCTGAGTGTTTGACATTGACCATACTAGACTATGGACTATGTCTACAAGGTGTTACATCCACTTGTTATACTGATAAGACTCTCCAGCTGTGTCCATTTTATAGACTATTTAAGATGGCAATGGCGGGTTAGTGAAGTTCTGCTGTGAAGCTTCGAGCTGAGTATTTTTACCAGTATCATCTTGGTATTAAGATGTAACCAATCAGAAGTGGACTCAGGGACACCACACACTCACTGGTTTACAACTTGTGATCGACAGGTACACAGTGAGTTGGTTTTAGCCTCTTTTTTTGACACTAATGTATTCAGTATGATTTTAAAAGTAGTGATGGAGCTCATAAACTCATTAAGAAACTGTTAATGAGATCACACATTGGGGCAGTTATAGAGTTTGAAAAATTTGCAGCCTGCTGGCCATTGAAAAGAATGCAGGCTTAAGTGGAGCCCGACCGATTTATCGGTGGGCCGATATTTTCAGCCATTATTAGTTATCTATTGAACTGTTGGTATTGACGTTTATAAAGACAGATGGAAAAAAAAGAAAAAGAAATCAGAGAAAGAGCCCTTCACTGATGTTATGATTGTTGATGATGCATAGTTTGTCCACCAGAGGGCACTCCACAATTTTTCTGTTCCGAAACCGGGTTTGGAAGCTACCTACACAACAACCAGCTGACCTGAGTGGAGTCGGTCAGAGTGTACACGAGTAAATACACGTTACAAATATTAGAGAAATCTGTGTATGTCTCGTGTGTCTGAAAGAAAAAAATATTGGCAATATCAGAATATACGATTTTTTTTAATCACCAAATGTCTGTCGAAATTGGTCTTAAAAATCCCGTATTGGTTAGACTCTTCTGCATTGGCTTCCCTTTTCAGACCTTGAAGCGACTTTCATTTTTCATACACAGTCTATTGTGTGTGTCAGTAATACTCTGAATATAAAAGAAGATGACACCAGCAAACATCCTTAGCTGCTAAAGCTATTGTGCGTTACCGACATGTTCTCAAGTCAAGGAACCAGTACATCATAAGTAAAAGGATAAAAAAGGTGATAACTTCATCCACTCACTAAACCTTAATGTATACAGTGCATCCAGCTGAGATCATTTGGAGCCCAGCTAAAGTAATCAAACTAAACACAGTCATTTAAATCTGTCTTTTATTTTTAAATTAGTTAGACACCTTGGGCTGTGTAATTAAAATGTAGATTTTTCAATTTGTACATAACACCCTACAGGCAGCTATAGCCCACAGTTTGGCACATGTTATGCTCAGGATATTTGGCCCAGCCTGATTAGATTGGCTCACCAGGCACCATGCCAAAGGGTCATTTTGACAAAGTATTCATATTGTAAGTTAATTTTAATTAAAAAAAAAAAAAGTGATGTTATTGCCATGTGCCAGGATATTTTTGTATGAGGATGATACACTTTTCCCCCTTAATTTAATATTTAAAACATCCAAAAAATATATTGCTGCACTTTTTTTGAATGAAATTGTGTTTTAAAAAAAGCCAATGTTTGTTTGCATTTTTTTTTAAACTTGTGGTCAGGATGTGGTTCAGTCCAGGAATGCCATATTGGAAAAACTGAGATTATGAGTAAGCCATTAACTGTCTTTATCAGAACTATTTTTAATAGTCATAATAGAAATTCCTCCCAGCAACAAAGACCCACATGAGCTAACAGACGTGGTTTCCACTGAAATTCTTTATTATGACCTTTGACCTGCACAGGTAGAAGAATCTTTACGCTTCACAAACTGCTGTAAGTAGGTTACGAGTTTTAATTTGTGTCTCTTTGAGTGGGACACAGAACGAGAATGATAGATGAGGAGAGGAGGGACACTCCGGGTATTTGTTCTCTGCACAGGCACTCACGCACGCACGCACACACACACACCAGCTTTGACATATGCAACTCACATTTCACCACCGATTTGGCATGATTCACAATTTCCTGGCTCTCTGCAACGCTATAATTCATAAGCCCGGTGAAAGGAAGGAATTACGGTTGGTTTTATCCGAGGAATACACTCATCTTACACACAACACCTAATCTTCTCCCAGCCGGTGTAATCCATCTTGTTGTTTTGCTCAAGTTTGTGTTTTCATTGTGTATTTTGCACAGCACTGGGCATTTTTTGTGACGAGACTATATCATGAATGATATTTGATATCCATTCGTCATGTTTTTTTTCTGTCTCATTAATCGAAATGAATGGTGTTGTGTGTTGGGCGTGTGCATTCTGTGTGTGTGTGTTGACTTTTCCACAGTAAAGACTAATCCTGTTGCACTGCTTTAAGATAATGATCTAGTTTAGGGCTGAACGATTATGGAAAATAATCTAATTGCGATTTTTTTGCCCCAATATTGCGATTGCGATGCGATATGCGATTATTTTTTAAGGTCTTTGTCTTCTGTATTATTAAACAAAGACAAGCAATACATCATATAGTATGGCCAATACTATATTACATTAATTTTAAACTGTTCTTTCCTGGAAGACAGACCTCTGTTATGATGACATGAGGTGATGCATGAATTAATGACTGACATTTTTATTTAACTTCTTCAATCACAACAGTATATTTGAACATACACAATAGTTTATTTTTAGCTTACAAACATCTGAGCATAAAGTGCTGACAAGGAACCCTGGTGTAAACATTAAAATGAAAGTCAGTACAATGTGCAGATTGTAGAAATATACATAAACAAAATCAGTGGCTTTACCACACTCAGTTTTTCGACATCTGTGAACTACTAGACAGTCATTCAATTAAAAAATAATATTAAATAAATAAAACTAATAAATAAAAAATACACACATCTTACTGATCTCTGCAGTCAGTAACATTACACATAAAGTGCAAACATAATAGCAATTGTATAAACACACACACAAACACGCCTTTAAAATTTAAAGGCGTGAAATTGGACGGTCTAGCCTTCTGATCAGAAGGCTAGTTCTGATTAGCTAATCAGAACTAGCCTTCTGATTAGCTAATCAGAAGGCTAGTTCTGATTAGCGTCACCGCTGTCTCGGTGGAGTTTAATAAACTCGGCCGTCTGCTTCTTGCTATCTAAAATATAACCAGACACTGGTGTAAATTCTCGACTGTCTCATACTTCTGTTTAATAAGTTTTCTGTTTGACGTTTAGTCAGCTGTGTGAAAACCAAGGAGGAACCCACCTCCTTGATTAATAAAGTTTTATTTTATCTAATCTAATAATTTTAATCTCAGCCAAACCGATTTACTCACGAACAAACAAAACACTGAAAAAAGCCCAACAATAACATTTTTAGGTTGTCTAAGTGACTTATATATTACGTTTAACCCGAGCAGCGAAACTCCGCGGTGATCTGAAAATGATGTGCCGGGAGTTGTGCCGTTCTCGGCCGCATCAGTAACCCTCGAGCTCCCGGCTAGCTGTCGAGCTGGTGGGTAGCAGACGCCTCTGAAAACGTCGAAGCACTTTTGCAAATATGGGATATCTTGATAAACCGAGCAGATATTTGATGTTTACACAACTACTTTCTCGCCTGAAAATATGTTAAAAGTTTATTTTGTGACCCAGAAAGATTAGTATGAGTAATTTTAAAACTTAGTAGCGGCCGCCATTGTTGGAAACTGGAGTTTGGCTGGGCCGCGCTATGAATTCTGGGATATGGTAGTAATTTGGACAGCCTTCGGCGCGTCGCTGTGACGTAATCGGTCTACAAATGCGGCCTCAGGAGGATGCAGCCCATGAATTTGGACATGTCCAGAGTATAATCGCAGCCTTTGCGGTTAGAAAATTGCACTTGATCATGTCGCGATATTATCGCAAATGCGATATATCGTTCAGCCCTAATCTAGTTCACACACACGAACAGACACACACTGGCCTGAATGCCATTCTCCTCAGCGCTCGGTGTGGGCAGCTGTGTGTGTCACTCTGCTTTTGTTTTGCCATTTTCTCAGTGTGTTTTTCTAAGATCACCGTGGCTTTAGCTACAAACAGAGGTGCGTGTGTATTTGTGTGTCTGTGTTGGTGGGTGCATTTGCGCTTGTTTTTTGATCCGACAATCTTGCCAGAGCAGGTCACCTTAATGGCTGAAGCCCTGAAACAAAGAAAGCCATTGTTGCTGGTTACCCCAGTCTACCTTGAACTTCATTCTGCTTTTTTATTGCTTCTGCAATGTTGCCCGAATCGTAGCAAGATGAATCAGTATGTCTGTGAGATAAAACAGGCAGTTTATCTGAGACTTTATTTTGCCGTAACACTTAAATCTTACAAATATAGTTATTTGGCTTATATCGTGATATATATCGTTATCGCCTGAAACGAAAAAAACATATCGTGATATGAAAAAATCTTATATTGCCCAGCTCTAAGTAAAACCAATGCAATGCAGCAGGGTTGACCTATATTCTTATTTCTTGAGAAGTTACTGAATAAGTGTGCAGTGTCCCCAAGTTTCTCAGTCTGATCCAACCCTTGCTTCTTATATCTGACAAAGCCACTCTGTTTGAGGCTTGGCTATGGGAGATAAGTAACCAATGTGATGATGTAGTGAAACCAGTGAAATATACTTCCTCTCTATGTATTTGTTTAAAATACAATGATAGGGTTTTTTCTGTGTATAAGAATGTCTGGGACCAAAGACTTAGGATAATAATATATATAATTTGTTTTTTTTTAAGCATTAAAAAGCCGGAAAGGCCATCAATTTCAAGTAAGGCCTAGTAAGGACAGATTTACACTTTACTGTTGTTTATGCCAAATTCTGACCATATCGTCTGCACACACTGGTTGTAACCAGCGTCCTGTCCGCTTGAACCGGTCTGGCAGTTTTCTGGATGTTGTCTCTTTTTAAGACCTTTCTTTGTAAACCATAGAGATGGTTATGTGGGGAAAAATCCCAGTAGATCAGCAGTTTCTGAAATCCTCACCCAGCCTTTTGGGCACCAACAACCATGCCCCATTCAAAGTTACTTAAATGACCTTTCCTCGCCATTCTCATGGTCAGTTTGAACTTCAGCATGTCTGCATGGCTAAATGCATCAACTTGCTGAAATGTTATTGGTTGACTAGATATTTGTGTTACCAAGGAGTTAAGCAGATGTTCCTAATAAGGTGGCTGTGATACATACATACATGCAAACCCTTCTTTCACTCTCTGGCCTTATCAATAAATTGCTCACATTTCTTCCACTAAAACCTGATGGTGTTTGTGAAAGTACAGATGATGCTGTTTTTAAAAATGAATTTTCTTTTTTTTTAAACAAATTACTTTAAAAGCAAGTGTGGTGCTATTATGTAATGTTTTATTATATTTTTGCTCATGACAGTGCAGTCTTTTGTGGAAAACCTCATCCCTCCAAAACGTCTGCAGGAAGAATAATAGACTGGTTTTGTGACTGACCACTGTTCATTTTTTACTCTGTCCAGTGTGTTTTGGCAAAGACTTTTTTTAGGCCCAAGAATGTGGAAATTTTCTTAAACCGTATTTAGACTGTGTTCTATCACATTTGAAATGTAAACATTCAAATTCAAATTTTAGCTGCCAGGTTTTGAGGCAGCCAATGCCCAGACCTTATTTTCTGTCTATTTTTACTTTTGGTTACTCTCTTTAATAATAAATTGAAATGGACTCATTCTGTAGATGTGTTCTTCACCAGTAACAGAATTGCAAAAGATATTTATCATTATGACCTTGTTAAATAAAAAAAGAGGCCATTTGAAGGAGCTGATTGCTACTTCATCATTTCTTCCAACTTATTTATGTGGTATTTCTGCACAAGCACTGAATTATTTCTTTTTTTCGCCTCTCTACAGCAGAGCTCCAGTAACGGAGCTCCAGATGGCCAGAAGGTGGAGGGCAGCTGTCTGAGCCCAGAGCCAGCGGAGGAGCAGCGTTCAACGGACGGAAAACGTGTTAGCCGGGACTCTGACACCCGATCGGTGTCCCTGCTGGAGCAGAAACGCAAAGTAGTCTCCTCCAGCATTGACGTCCCCCACGCTAGGTAGGACTGTGTATATGAAATTCTCTAGCAGTGACAGTCTGATTCCTATCCTGCAGGCAGCTTAGCTAGAGTGGTACAGGCAAAGTTCACGAAAAGTTTATGACATAGATATGTCATCTCACAAATAGGACAGACCTTATGTGGGCTGACATCCTGTATTTTATTTGATCCTCGAAGCCAATTTTGCAGCACATAGTTTACAAGATAATTTGGCAAGAGTCTGCTTTACTCCATTACATAAATATTTTATTATATGGCCTCACACATGCTACACTCTTCCAACATACAGTGTTGTGTGTGTGTGTGTTTATTATAAATAGATAGATATATAGTTGCATAGATGTGTATGTGCAAGTAAGGCTTCAGACTGATGTAAACACTCAACAGTTTGTTTGTTTTTTTTCTACTGTTAATGTGGATGATGTCATCTCGGGCAGACAGCTGTCTGAGAACATGCCTCAAAGAACTGCTTTTCAAACCTTCTCCTTGTGATCGAGACAAGAAAGTTGACTTCAAGGGAGGGAGAGGGTAGCTAAAACTGCTTCCTGACATAGCGTGAACTACACCAGTGTCTACTATAAGATAAATGTGGATTATTATGAATCGTGACTCACATAAAGCTAGTTTAGTAGAATCCAAGAGTAAAAATATGGAGGCGGAAATGAGCATAATAGGTCCTCTATAAACCGATCCAGACATTTTGTTGATTTAGGATTCTATCCGTGTTCTGAATATTAAAAGGTTTTCAGCAAAATGTTGCTTTTGGATGCTGTTTCTTTAACTTGCAGAAGCATTTATGGGTATTGTTATTTAAACGGCATGCCTCTCTGGTGGTTTCTCAACAGTTACCCTGTTGAGCGTCTTTCCTGCTACACAGCAAAGACACCGTGGCCTTGCAGAATACTTTGCCCTTATAGCCCGCGTGTACAGTTGTTGCTTTCATGTGGTATAAACATTGTGGCACATATTCCAAACTGATCCTACATGCAGAACATAACCCTATACAACTGGAAATAATTATTATGTTATGATGCATTAGTTATTTCTTTACTCATTCGGTGGTTCTCTTTACACTGCACACACACACGTGCACACACACGTGCACACACACGTGCACACAAATATTATTTTAGACCACCAGACTAATTCCCCACATAAGCCATTTCCACAATAGAGCAGTTAACCATTGGTGGGCAGCAGTGCACGACAGTGAAGTTCTATCTAATAAAGGAACAACACTCTTTCTCAATTAAATGTGAAACCCTAATACCTTGTAAAGCACTTTGCTGTTATTGGACATCACTCCTCATTACCTGCCTTCACTCTGCTGCTGGAGTCCAATCGATGGCAACTTGCTGAAAAGTACAGCAAAAGTTTCCCATTTGTGCAACTTTATCACTCCATCCTGAGCTATTGCCTTAAATTTAACTGTTATTTGTTGATGAGTCATTGATTAGAAGCTGCCTTATGGCCCATTAAGAAGGAAGAAAGGTCTATCGCATAGATTAGACTGGAATTTCATACTTGTCCTTTGGATGGGGATTGCAAAAATATTGATATTTATGTGTTTATGGTTGGATGTCTTATTGATTATCTTGCTGCTCAAGTTTATGTGCAATCACTAGACCAACTTCATGTTGTCTAGTGATTGCACCTCCTCCCGCTGAGGCCAGCTAAAAACATTGTAGCCACGGGGAGATGTCTTATAAGTCACATTCAGAAATCCTCATAAAATGACTGAAATAAGACATGACCTTCAGAGAGCTTCACATCTTCAGAGTTATTGGTGTGGGCACACACAGCACTCCGAAAATCCAAATTGGCTCTCCAGCCAGAATTCCAACTGGATTATGTATGCTGTGATCTTATTTAGACTGTGCAGACATCTCTAAGGCACCAAAAACATGAGCACTGTGTGCAATACTTCTTAAATACGTGTGTATATAGAAGCAACCAATGACTAAAGTTAGATTTGGTTTTAAACTATGAACACCTTTGCGTATTTGGGTGTGAAATGAAAAGCTAACAATGGCTGCCATGGCTACTTTTAGCACATTGCCATGGCATGATGGCGTTTTGCAATGTGCTTCTGGAGTCGGGGGCTGTGCTATAACAAAAACTAGTCGTGTCAGATTGTCAGAATAGATCGCACTAATTCCAATCTCATGGTTAGAGGTTAGGATATGGTACCTAAACCCACTATCCACTCTAATGAAGGGCAGCAGATCTTTCACAGTAAACTTGGAAAGAACCCTGTAATTATGTTTTGGTTTTTTTCCCTGCTTTGTTCTAATGAAGCTCTGGCTGCCACTTGTTGAAACACTAATACGAACATTTAAGAAGAAGTCCTTGAAACCAATTCTGTGTACAGACTTTTGTGAAATGATAGCAAGTGTTATCTTCATTTGACAAGTCAAGGTTACACTTCACTTTTTTTGTTTTTTTTAGCTTGACAATTTCCATCTGCATCTGAACCAAAAGCTGCTAAAAAAGCAAAAACAGTCAAACATGCTGAAATGCTCTGGCCTTATCAGATCTTGTATTTTTAAGTCTTTTCTGGGGTTGTTTGTGTTACTGCCTTTTTGCACATCAGCAACTTTGTCATTATTAGGGATTTGTTAGTTATTTCACTTCGTGAGCCAAAAAATGAAAGTCACATAAATACCATTTGAAGTCATAAGCCACTTTTCCATAGATTTTTCCATTTTTCAATAAATCGCTGCACCACCTTCCTATTTTCATCGCAATAAATTTAAACAAATGAACTTCTGTACAGTACTCTACTTTCATTTATACCTGAAAGACACCTCTCTTCTGTTTCTGAACATTATTTTTCTGCCTTCATTCGGCAGACACAGTAATGACAGAGACAGGAGACATGGGAAGATAAAGCAAATGTCTATATGTGCAGATGACTTGTTTGCCCCTTAATAAAGTTTCAGCATTGAAGAAGAATAATTGTGGATTATAATTGTGCAAAAGCAGACTCCCCCCCCCCCCCCCAAAAAAAAAAAAGAAAATCAATTTTCAGCCCAATTCATAAAGTGTGCTTGCACAATCAAGAAGATGGAAAGTTCATTGTTGCTGCCCCTGAGAGCAGGTATGATTCTAAGCTCTTTCTTTAGATATCCCCACAGTGACCTCGTCGGTATACAGCTCCATTATTGCCTCAAGATTAAGATCCAAAGGTCTCATCCGCTGCACACCTGCGACCAATTTTAAACCTGCTCCCACACTGGGGAAGAAATTGTGTCGCCGCTGACCACAGAGTAACGTTTATCTGTAATGAAGACAAAGGGGCAAAGAGACGAGAGGGGGAGGTGGCGAGGAGTAATGGTAAATGGTAAATGGCTGTATTATATAGCGCTTACTATCCTAAGACCCAAAGCGCTTTAATATCCAGTCATCACCATTCACACACATCACACTGGTGATGGCAGCTACATTGTAGCCAGCACCTGGGGCATGACAGAGGAGGCGGACACTGGCGCCACGGCCCTGACCACCAGTAGGCACGGGTGAAGTGTCTGCCAGGACACACGACTGAGACTGTCCAGCGAGGCTCGAACGGCACCCGATTACAGGGACTCCACTTGAGCGACGCCCACTGGCAAGGAAGCCCAAGCACCGAGGGGAAATTTGTGCATACAGCGGAGGGGAAGAAGGTAACGGAGCTGAGAGAGCATGTGTAGCTATTAAGTTAACAGCAAAAGAGAGAGGAAAGGGAGAAAATGCCTGAGGATTTTTGTCAGAGAGAACTCTCCAGAGAAGTCTGACCTTGAGGTTGTTAATTGCGCTCTGAAAAAAAAAAGTTCCCTCTCAACTTGTGATTTACCAAGAAAATGTCTGGCTGTTTGATGGCTCTCCAGATCCCTTGCAACCTAGAATACAATAGGTTCCCTCCCTCGCTGGGATTCAGTGAAGTACCCAAATGCCTCTTCTGCAATCATTGGGAAACTAGAGGAAAAATGACAGTGTGCCATATAAGATGTTGGACCTCGGGGGGCTTTTTGTAACTACATTTCATGCTTCTGCCAGCTTGTCCAACTCTCTGTGCTTTATCGAGTAGCTGCGTACATTGCTTTTGTTTGCAGGATGCTTGCTTTGGCAACTTTTTATGAGTCCTGCAAACAGAAATCGATGGCATTGCATGATTGACATGTGTTGACTGATATTTTTTTCCATCACTACAACCCTCAAACGCTCAGAAATGATTTCCTTTTTTTGTCTTTAAAAAAAAGATTTATTCTGCACATTAAGAGTAGAAAGATTTGCTCACTGCGGCAGGTTCTGATTTGTTTATTGCCATGTTTGTCTTTGCTGAATTATCAGACATGGTTAAACATTGTCAGACTGTAGTCTCAGCCAGCTGCTGGGTCTGCTCCTTCCTCCAAGGGCTTATGTTTTCTTTATTCAGGAAACGGCCAATTGTAACAAGAGCTAGTGGGGCCAGACCAGTGGAAAACGAATGGCTTGGCTCTTGACAAATAGCATTCAGGAGACTAATTGCTAGCAGGGGAAGTGAAGTATAACCCTAGATGAAGGCAAAATCAAGAGTGCTTTGCTTGTTATTACAAAATCCCAAAACAGCAGATCTGAGGGTTTAAATCCTCTTCTCTTCAGAAAGCCAGCAACCCCCCCACCCCACCCCAAATCTGTCTAGCATTAACAGAGGTTATTCATGTATTTCTAAATGACTGGACCCCTTGCTGTTCCTCCATGATGTTTTTTCTTTCCTTGTTTCTTTTTTTAATACATAAAAGCTCAACAAAGTTACACATGTAATTTAATTATGGTAACTGATGACAAGGAGTCTGGTGGGGTGGACTGGAATTTGGGAGGGGACCAACTTCAAAACCAGCATTGTTGCCAAGAGCATTTTGTTATTGTCATTTTTTTTATTGTTGATCAGTGTGCTTGCAGATCACCCAGTTTAGTGCGCTGAGCCAACCATGTGCTCCACTCTCAGAGCCGCCTGCATCAGCCAACTCAGGCATGGA